GTGATGCTACACCACGCTGATGATAGACGGTTTCGACAATGCACCTGATGCTACTCACCTCTGTCCTGTCGCCCTGCTTTCGCTCATCATCATCGTCGCGCTAAAATCGATACCTCCCCTAGCCACAGAAACCACCGAGGTTCTCCAAGCTCTCTGTGCTTCGGATGCACAGCGATCGTGCACAGCAAGCACGGCTACAGAGTCGCACGTCGCCGTTGGTGAGTTGGTGGATCGACCCCCAGATATGCGGGGGGATTCAGCACCAAAAGAGTCAACATGTGCACCGTGCTGCTGCTAATGCTACTGCTACTGCTGCTGCTGCTGCTGCTGCTGAAGTAAACTCTTTACAGCCTCAACTACGAGGCGCGAGCAACCAGTCCACCCTTCTACCTGCCGCCACACGCACAGGCACACCCACTTTGCAGCGAGGACAGGGCGGGAAAGAGGGTCTGGAAACAGCCCTCTGAGGGGGCTCGCAGATGGCATCCTGCATCCCGGCAGTTGGCTCGAGTGATTGGATTATAAAACGGCGGCATCTCGACGAGCCCTGCCGGACGAGAGTGGGTAGCTGCCGCTGCTTCAAGCTCAGGTGAAGGAACGATCATGGAGAACGGTCGCTCTGGGCGCTTCCCGCCACAGCGACGTCGCTCAGTGTCATCTGCTTCGATTTGGCCTTGGCAGACGACTGCGTCACCTCCCGGGCGACCCAGATCGTCGGCTGCTCAGCATTCGAAAAGACCGTACTCAAGGGATCAATGGCGAACACGTGAGAGGACAATACGACATGTATACGGTAGATCATGCACCTTGCGATCTGCGCATGCCGCATGCTGCATGCATTACGTGAGCGTTAATCACAACCTGTACAGGCACGGAACTGTTGCTATACTACAGTACGATAGCAGTGTACTCCAGCAACATTTGAACAGGCCGGAAGGGCGGAAACATGCGCACTCACTGATCCAGCGGTCGTGCAGCGCACTAGACTATTGTGGATGTTCTTTGGCAACGCCAGTGCACACGGCATGCCATATTCAAATTTGGAAAAGTTCGTTGTGAGTGAGTCATGCCCGGAAGGCCGATATTGCATCCCTCGAACACTTCCAAATTGATGTCTGCCATACCTGCTGTTGTACAAGGTCGAGCTAGCACCGGCGATGTGGACCGCGAGACCGACGACGGTAAGGTGGGCGAGTTGGTTGAAGGCGCACCGGTGGCTGGGGACGGTTTGTGGACAGACAAGGGAAACGAGGCGGGGGAGAAAGAAGCTGGTGGTAGCAAGGTGTTGCCGATCGAGGCATTCGCAGACCAAGACGAGGGGTGTCCACCCATGACAAAAACGGAGAGAAGGCGCTTGTGGCTGAAACGGAGGAGATCGGGCGAGTTCTACTTCCGATCCGAGTTCAAGGGCCTCGTGCATGCGGTACGACTTTCCGAGTCACCACAGTAGTTCCGCAATGGCCGTATTGACACATATGTCGTCCTCTCACGATACAACGTTATGCGCATGGTTTACGAGACACGGTTGTGACATTCAAAAGGCAGCAGCACCTGGACTCAAGCTGCTACCGCAGACTACGTCATGAAGCGCGTGTACCAGGTGTACCTGGCATTACATACTTTGCTTAACCAGACGACAGGGAGGGGTGCTCACGTCGTCGGGATAAATTTCAAGTCCATCGGCATTTACCCATGCCCCGTGTGTGCACCGCCAACGTATGTATATGAGTCTTGGTGCACTAGGTACAGTAGTCCCGGGAAGACACGAACAGAGGCCCTCTGCTGTAGGAGACATTATTTCAACGGCTATCTGTGTCCGCGGCGTTTCGCTCTCACACGTACCTCAACCGCGCAGGTCATGGAATCGAGAGGATGGAAGCCGTCCTGCCCACCCCGCGTGCCTGACGAATGCCTCACGGTCCCGTATGTGGACAGCTGGGAAGAAACAGTCGATGGGTTCGACCCCTCGCGACCAGGCTTCGGTCAACCCGACGAACGCGATCGGCTTGCCCTATCCGCCGTTGTCGCTGCTCAAGCTGAGGACGGTGCAACAGGCCGCGAAGATGATCCTTGTAGCGATAACATGCGTGCCAGTGAGTCACCGCAACAACAGCAAGAGTACGATGACGTCATCGTGTCGTCGACGAGGGCGTGCAAGCCGTGGGACTTGCATTGGAGCTACACGAAGTGGGCCGTGGAGACGATGCGATTCGCGAGGAAGCTCGCACCGTGGCAGAAGGTCAACCACTTCCGCAACAGCAACGAGCTCTGTCGAAAGGTGCTTCAGAAGACAGGCCGAACCTGGCGAATGCGTTCCACAAAACACAATAACTTGCCCGTTGACCGCTCTACCACTGGTGCATATACTACGAGGGTCAAATTGTCATCCATCTACGTGAATTATTTGGGGGGATTAAGTCGGGATCGGAGCTTCAGTCGTACTCCCACTAGTTGTCATCCACTAGGAGAGTTAGGTTGAACGGAATACATGTTCGCGATCCGGAGCTTCAGCCGAGTTCGCCCTACGCTACTGCGGTCCACAATACGGCAGGACCTAATGCTGAAGAACCTCAAGAAGCGTAGGGCACAGCTGTATGCACGGGGCGAGCTCGCCGAAGCCCAGGCGTACAACTTCTTCCCCGTCAGTTTCGAGATGCCTAAGGTACTGCCGTATGTTGATGTGCCACAGGTCACTTGCAGGCAGCAACATCGCTTCCCGTAGCAAAGTTCATAGTTCAAAGAGAAGACCTGAGCTCAAGATGTAGGAACGGGTGGCCGGGGTTCTGGTAGACATCAAGCTTCGTGGCTGCGTCATTCCCAGCACCGGCGCGTGAGATCCCAGAGTGTCTGTGCGTCTCGCGCACCAGCTATTCGAGGAGTCTCTGGTGACTACACATATGAATATTCACTTTCATGGCTCTGCTGTCATCCGAGCAGGACTACGCGCTGTTTGTGGAGGAGTTCAAGGAGAGCGGCGGTATCTGGGTCATGAAACCGTCGGGAGCGGCGGAGGGGAAAGGGATATTCCTCTTCACCAAGCTGTCGGACGTCAAGGCTTGGGCCAAGCCGCATCTCATTCGTCGCATGAAGAGGTCAGCCAGCCAGCGTAGTAGACGCTACGTCGCAACACCGTCCGTGCCGTACGCCTAGAGCTATCGCTACTCATGGATGGGTTTCCCCTGGCCGAAACTATCACTATCTTTTCGTGGTTAGGGCCACCGTGAAACACATGGCCTACAGCAAAGTCAAGCATCCCTACGGCATCGCCAGCGTACAGTGATCCCCCCCAAGTGTTGGAGTTCACATTTGATAGCTCGCAAGGTGCTCCCCCGTCGCATCCTTTAGGAGAGGCTTTAACCCTTACGTGACTGGGTTGAATTGAATTTTTCCCGGCTCACACAGCAAATCGACCCTACGATATTACTATCGCAGCAAATGGATAATAATCACGGCAAACTATACTTGTGTACTAAAGATAGAGAGGGTTTATCGTGCATGCTATCGAGCATGTAGTCCCGAAAATCCTTTCCCTTCAGCGAAAATTGCACACAGCACACGGACCTCCTTCACTCCCAATATTCTGGACCACCAACACTGCAGCCATGACCGCATCAGGCACCGAGGCAGTACGTTAGCATCGGCCCCGGGGTGGGGTATCTCTGCTCTCCATTGCGCAAGCGGGACCCCGGGTTGATCTCATGTTGAGGGGGCTGTATGTACCCTCCCGTGGTATTTTCCGTTTGGATCTTACAACAGTAGGCAGCAGATTGGGTCTGGAAAGAAAGGACATATCTGCCCCACATCAGAGACAGTACTGCTGTACAAACGGTAGTACTGCGTGTACCCCTGCGCACATTGCTCATGTGCGTGCTTGTGTGGTGGGCTGCCTCTTGGTCTCTCTGCCGGCCTTTTCGGCGCAGGTTTTTTGCTCTTTGGCGAGACACGCCAGCGATCTTTCGGCACACAACGTTATCGTATTGCTATCGTGCATGTGGTCACACAAGGGTTAAAGTCCCCCAGCTCCTCATTTCATGTGTCTTCAGCCTCCAGGGAGGACCTCTTCGCGAGTTTTTTCAGTCACTTCCGGTTTCTCGGGCCAGTGAATCACAGAAAACACATGAAAAAGTACTCGCGGCATGTTGTACCACTACTCCCGCACTAAAGGAAACAGCAGACATGTGGTGTGCACCATGTGCCAGCAATACTACCTGGCCGGTGATGTGTTCGGCATCAATCAGTCTTCCCTCTCGAGGGCGTGTTGGCGTAGACGTGCGAAGATTGTTCTATTTCTTCCTTACGCACGTCCGCGCGTTGGTTCGTTCCTTCGTTGCCTGGTCCGTTCATTCTTTCTTTTGTCCGTTCGTTCGTTCGAAGGCACGACCCCGCGAACCCCGGATCGTTCGTGGTCCAGCGGTACATCTCGAACCCCTACGTCATCGGCGGCAAGAAGTTCGACCTCCGCCTTTACGTGCTGGTCACCAGTTTCCGCCCTCTCACGGTCTACATCTACCGTGACGGGTTCGCTAAGTTCTCAAGCGCTCGCTTCAGGCGAGCACGATCTCACTATTGTAGTGTAGTGTAAGCGCACAACTCGGGAAACGTTCATTCACCTTACCTCACGTGAAGGTTTATATATACGAAGTATGTCTTTGGCTGTAGTTATCAGAACGGATTTTGCCGCCGGGAGGGATCGCGATAACAGTGACGGTCCAGTTGGTGGTATAATTCGCACATATTCTTCGGCTTCACCTGCAGAACAACCAATTTGCTGAACTTGGAAAGAACCACGAACTAGCAGTATTTCCGGACAACAAGCTCTTGTTATGGTTGTGGGGGCACTACGCGAACAACCGCTCTGACATCTGTGCAGTATCACCGGCCGTTTTGCTTGGCTTGGTGGCCGAGAATCGGCCCTTCGCGGTCACAAGCTCACCCTAGCCCTAACCCTAACGTTGCCCCTATCCCTACCCGAAAAGGCACGTCCAGAACAGAACTCAATGGCCACTGCAGGTATGAACGAGTGCCGCCGCCCGCGATGAAACGAAACCCCTTCGAATAACAAGCTCCAATACATGTACTACACGAAGTAGGAGATTTGTTGAGGAGCCCATCACCTGCCGCCGCCGGCTTGTCGCCCTGCTTGTGCCCGCCGACTTGTCGTTTCCCTCCAGTGCCGACCCGGCACACCTCGCGAACGAACTCATGCACCTGACGAACCACGCCGTGCAGCGACGAGGTGCGGCCGCCGGCAAGAAATGGTGCGTCCAAGTGGTGTCACCTTCCGATAGGCATCCATGTGGGGTTCAGGCTGTTGGTCGTTCAGGGTTCTGGATAAGAGGCAACCTCTCGATGCGTATGGTTTATCGACAACTCGGCAGCAAGCAAAGTAGCATCGGTCGGACTACTGGATGTAGGGAAACTACGGGTAGTGTACGACCCCACAATATCGCATCGATGTTAGGCTGTATCCGCGCAGTATCACGCTGTAAGCTGCTCAGAATGCTGACTTAACGTATATACTTCTATGTCACATCGCGCGGTGTTCGATCTATTTCGAAGGGGTCTGAAGAAGTTCAAGTGGTACGTGGCGATGCGGCACGGGCGTAAAGCCATGGACAAGCTCTTCTGGGAAATCCAAGCGTTGGTAGTAAGGACCATTCGTTCCGTGGACCGCCTCATCATACACGACAAGCAGAGCTTCGAGGTGACGAGAGACCCCCCGTCACGATAGAGGGAGGATACAGCAATGGCAGCAGAGAGCGTACTGTGTCACGATCGAATTCTTGCCACGCGTGACACCCAGCCCGTACGGCGTACGTTTTTCTCTTTTGGCGCACGCAACCCACGAGGGGATAGGACTATCCTTGCAGAATTTTGGTGCGGGTAACGACTGCTTGGATCGGCATTGTGTGAGTCGAGATCTAGTGTTCTGTTCGATACGTTCGAAGTTTGTCAGCCGACGCGGGCCTTTGTTCCTGCCTCTGCTACCGCGCAGCTCTTCGGATACGACGTTCTCGTGGATGAAACCCTCCGGCCCTGGCTGCTAGAGGTCAACGCCTCCCCGTCGCTGGGCGCGAGCAACAGGGATGACCTCCGCCTTAAGAAGCAGATGGTTGGAGACGTGCTGGACATTGTCGACGTCGAGGGCAGGCAAGAGCGTTGCCATTAATGTGGCTTCTGCTACAAAAAACGAAGGCATTGATGCGTCGAACCAGCGACATTATAGATAAAGCAAAGTGTAACGTGGAGACCATACATTCCTCGGTGTTTCTCCGGGTGTTTACCTCTTCTCAGCTTCCTCACGGATAACAAGCGGAAACCTAAACGGGGACGAACAGAACTTGACATACGTACCTGTCGCTCGGCCGCTTTTTTCCAGAAGCTGGTACTTTTTTGTAAGAAAAACATTGCAATCATTGAAAGACAATGTGCCCGTTGAGACTACAATCAACCCCAGCAGTAGTCCAAGGCATGTGTTGAAATGTTAACACTATAAACACTGGTTGTCCCAGCTTTCCATGTAAGCAGGTAGGCGAACGGGATTCTGTGCCTCCACGGGTGGAAGAACAGCAGTTTAAATCGAAGAACACCTCCGTACGGCGTCCACGAATGTTCTAACCCGTCGTGAGCAGGGTCCCCGCTGGTTCCCCCGTCCGCGAGCACGTCGGAGGATTCGACCTCGCCTTCCACAAGGGCTACGTCGAAGTCCAGCCGCAGGCTTGTGGGTATTCCAGCTTATTCGGGGCCGTCGTGAGAAATCGGGTGAAGCCGGCCCGACGAGCTAAACAAGACAAGGCAAGAAGACTGCATTGTCGGGCATGGTGTGGATACGATCCTGGATCGCTTAGTTTGGACATCGCGAATCGACCGTTTGACATAGGTATTTGCATTCTGAGCGTAAGCACGCAAAACTTGCCAGTCAGTTGTTTGCAGGTGCCCCTGCGCTGTGATCTGAACAAGTTCACCCGACTACGCGCCCCTCCCATGCCACAACAGGGGAAATTTTCTTGTTTCCCGTTGCCCCGAGCGTCTAGGCCACATCCCGGTCCCAACGAGAAAATAGGCACCACCTCTGGTGCTCCGCCAATCGTCATGTACAAGACGTCGAACGAAACCATGGGGTTGGAAACGTGGAGGCCAAACATCTACATCTTCCGCCCTCAAGACTATTGGAAAGGCTCGGTGGACTACGTGCCTTGGAAGAAGGGTGATGGTGTCTGTACTAGCGATGGCGACGAGTGTCGAGCGCCCCCCAGGGGGGAGGGTCGGACCTCTTCCGGGAAAGACGGAGATTGTTCCGGTATTCAGTTTGGACTAAGGTATAAAAATACTGATCCGAGAGCCCCGCTGTCAAGGTCTGCAAGGGCAGATCGGTGCCAAAATATCAAGGGTGCGAGGGAATCTGGGGTACACATCACTCAATCGTGTGTAGATGAATCGGGAGGGTATCCCGCGGGGTCCTCTGGTGGAGGTGAAGTCGAGGTTGAACGATGCGCTTCTGGCAGCAATGCCTTTCGGAAGGACGCTGAGATGGAGATGGCGCTCCGCGGCGTGTTGGACGCACTACGAAGAGTCAGAGAGGAAAGGTTGAGGTAGTGACATGATTGGCGATGGAGGAAAGGAAATGAGTTGCGAAGAGTGTTGCCGGTGAGCCTGAAGCGAGCTGCCAACGAGTTGTCCCCCTTTAGGGTATAAAGAGCTGCTCATGTGGATTGACGGCATTCTGCAGTACTTCAGTATTAACAGGTGTTGATGTGCTCCGAAACTGAGCCGGGGGGCATATTGCTGGCGTTCGGCACGGCGGGGCGGCGGGGCCTGAGTAGTGGCGAGCGAAACCGTTGTGTTGTCAAATTCTGTGTACCTGGGAGCGTCTGATAGTCGAGAGCCGACTATGCAGGAGAGCCGCTTTGGATTGTTCAAAGGTTGGTTGTGGAAAGTACGCTATTGTTATTGTTTGATATGAGAGATATTGTTTCGTATGAGATATGCTGCTGGCGTTTGGCACGGCGGGACCTGAGGAGTCGTGAGCGAAACCGCTATGTTGTCAAATTCTGTGTAGCGTCCTTTTGTGGTCGCGGGTTGCCTATTCAAAAAGAGCCGGTTTGGGTTTTCCAAGGTTGTTGTTGCTTAGCATGAGAGATATTGCCACGAATAAGAGCGACGTGACACTGATGTCGCCTTCGCATTCGATGTACAGTGAGTCCTCTTGGTTTGAGCAGGCGCTGAGATTGTTGTAGTCTACAAACACCCTGACACATGCATCCTCTCCCCTCTTCCACGAGTGTGTGCATGTGATCATTCAGTGAGTCAACTTGATTCCTGTTTACATCCCTCATGTTGGTTTGTGGTTCCCGTTTCCTTCGGGACAATTCGCTCGTCGTTTCACTGGCCGAGCTAGGTAGTTTTGAAGCCCTTGCGTTGCTTCTTCCGGTGGTTTCGAGCTTTCCCCGTAACTCGGGAGGACGAGCACCACAACAACAACGAGCAATCAGTGAAGGGTCTCTGTTTGAGGTACTTGTAGTACATCGATGATGGTGGTGGTGCCTGCAAATTCTCTAGCGGAGGGTTGGTGTCTGTCCGACTTCGCTTAACGCTCGGGGGGTTGCTACTGACCCGCTCAAGGTGCCAACCCCCCGTTATGTAGATATTCAACAGTCTATATATGGCCGACCAACACTCACCTGGGCAACGCGATTCCTCCAAGAGACGTGTTCTCGGTTTTTTATACGCAAGTCTTTGTTGCGGTAGGCACATGCACACGGGGCCAAAACAGCAGTGTTGCCGTTTCGCCATGGAATGAACTCTTTATACTCGTGGTCAAGGCGTGGAACTGATAACCGCAGCTGCTGAATCTACGCGAATCTGCCCGGAATCCAGACTATGTAGACTAGACTATGGCCTCGTAAAGACGTTTTTTCCGGATCCATCCGGAGATGATCCGCAACCCAGGGTAAGGATATATGATCAGATCAAGATCTATACGTACGTGTGTGCCCGCAGCAGAGGTTGCGTTCCTGGTCGCAACCTAACCTTGAAGCAATACAGCGATCTCCCTCAATGGACAGATAGCCGAAGTTCGATACATTCCGGCCTGGCTCAAAGATACGACAGCACAGCTGTACAGTAGTTCTCTATCCATCGAATAGAAAACGAAAATCGGTGCCGTGGGTGCGCCGGGTGTAGTGCTGCTGTAGAATGACCGCAAAATACTTTAGGTTGGTGGGAGGTGAGAGAGAATCAGAGGCGAGACAAGAGAGCAACAGGGACGGAAGGCTTGTGCAGGCGGGCCTCTCACCAAAATATCAGGACACACCAACCAACATGCCTTGGTCTCCCGTGGGATCGCACGCCTGTGTCGGATCAACAAACTCCTCCGAACTGCGGAGCCCCCAATGATTTTACGGCGACCCCATGCACGTGTGATCGAACTGGCCTCCATGCCTCTCACATCCATCGCGCTGCTTGGCACAGGCGATGATCCATTACGCTGCGAGAAGAGCGTGTGTCACGAGATTGAGGCAAGGAGGAGGAGGCCTCAGCCGATGGAGGGCCCCAGGCCGATCACGCTCTGCAGGGACATTTGCTGTCTACGATGCCGATGCGTCCAACCCCACTACCACTACTAGCAGCACCGCCGTGTCCGCACAGCGGCAGCAGCAGCAGCATCACGGGCAGCAAGAGCAGGGTGGCGCAGAAGCAACATCACTGGCAGAGGAGCATGGGGAAGGGAGCTTGGAGTATATGTTCGACCGTAGGCCAGCCACTCTGGGTCGGGATGTGGGGCGTATGGTGCGGTCGGGGCAGGACTTCTTGTCACCAGAGGTATGTGGTAACCGCGAGGTTCTTCTGACTACAATCACAGCAGCAGCGGTAGAGGTCGCTCATTGTTCGCGGTGACTACCCACCCTGGATTGCCTGCTGTGTGCAAGACGGTGTTGGGCATGCACTGCTGATGTTCGCGCATTGGAAACAGTATGGTGCGACAAGGGTTCTGCCTCTGTATTTTCCGCTGTAGATTTACAGTACAAATAGATGTTCTTTGTAGTCTTACCATCTTGGGCTGGCGCCAAATATACGGGCGGTGTGGCTGCGGGGAGCAGGGTCTACAGCAGTAGGTAACGAGGAAGTCTTGGTGTGCGTTGGGGATGTGGGTCTGGGATGTTAACTCGACTCTGCGGTGAGGTTCTTGGGTTCTTGCCACGATTGTGGTGCCTGTCTGGTGGCTCGGCATCACGTACATGTAGCAGGTCTCGCCGCAACACAAGGAGAAGGTCAAGGGGCATCACATCCTCCTGATGTGTCCGTGTATCCATGTATCCATGTACCCATGTCAAGTCTGTAAATGGGCGTTTATCAAAAGGGCAGACAGAGATATCACATCATGTGACCGTCTACGCCAGCAGCAGCACCGATCAGCCCAACAGCAGTGTTTCTTGTCGTACTGACTTCGTCAGCGGGGTATTTTTCTCAGACATGAGGTCCAGTTACCCCAGTTGCTGAAGGTTTCGAGTGTTGCCTCCGGCGAGCGCAGGGAGTATTGTAGACTAAAGCACAGTATGGGGCAGGGCAGGTTCTCATCCTCAATGGTGGGCCGTGGCTTGCTTGCCGTGATCCATACTCGTGCAGGGGGCATCACATGCGGTGCGGGACTATGTTGTTGTCAAGCAGGGAGTTTCTGCCTGCCAACCTAGTTGTAGGTTTCCTCGCCATTCGCGGTTAGAACATTAGCATTCATCCGCGAGGAGCATAGCGAAAGTGCGCACTTGCTCTAGCTCTGCGCGCCGTACGCACTCAAGTCTGTGCAGCAAGAGCAGCAGTAGCGATCATAGCGGTTCTCTCGACACCGCTTTCCAACCGAGCTTCACTTCTTCTCCCTATTCATGGTCCTATCACCTTCAAGAATCGCCGCTCCATCACGGCTTTGCGCGTTGCATCTGACGCACACATGCCTCCTTCCCCTTTTGTAACCCACCAGATCGTAGACCTGATGGTTAGCGCTAGCACCAGGAGTACCGTGGGGTCACCGCCACTCCTTGCGGATACGGCAGGCGTCGACGTGTTCGCGGTCATCGCCAAGGCCTACCACAGGCTCAGGAGGCACGACCTCACGCTGCAGCTGTGCGAGGCCTTTGAGGAGAGCACGGGGGAGCCTCTCGTGCCGTCGACGCCGCAGGGCTTGGTCTGGCTGCTGGGCGCTATGCGGCGGAGGAGCACAACGGCTCCACGTTCCGGGAGGCGGCCTGGGAGGCATGACAGGGAGGGGGAGGGGGGACGAGAGGTGAAGGAGGTGCTGAGGCGGTACGAGGAGGGGGGCAAGGTGGGTGGTTCGCTTTGATCCTCCTTTGCCTCTTGCTCTTGTCAGCTCAGCAATGGATACCGTATGAGGGGGAGTACTCTTTGAATACCAGTATTTACTTGGGTTTGCCCCCCCCCCTTTCGTCCTCTTTTATTTTGTACCGAGCACCGCTGGGTGGGAGTGTAGTTTAGCAGTTTAGCTGATGGTCACGTGGTATACTGTATCAGGTCATGAGGTGTGTCACATGACATGGTTGGCCGCAGTATTTTGGGTCTGGTTCCACACGATACGTTGCATTTTGGTTTCGCTATGGTTGTCCCGCTAGTCTGCCGGGAGACTCGAGAGAGTCAAGGCGTGTCTCTAAGGTGTGTCCTATGCAATCCTCTATACAAACCACGTTTGGATAGGATGCCGTGGCATTGGCTGTAGCTTCGACCGGCGGTACACAAGCCACAACCTTTTTGAGTTGTCTGTCCAACACGTTGACCTTCTTTGGTACATTGTCTTCGTTGGCACGGCGGTGACCTTGATTGCAACAGTCACCATTTCAGTGTTGCATACATGGGAGAGGTACAACCAAGCAACCAACCCGTGTGTGTGTGACTGACGTAACGGCAGTCGCTTGACAATTCCAAGGGTGTGTTGGCTTCTCTTCTTCAAGAGTACGATTCGCACGGGCTCGGCTCCTGTCGACATTATCCCACTACAGTATGCCATTCTTCCAGCAGTATGACATAATTATTGTTTAAGCTATGGCTTCGCTCTGCTCGAATCTCCATGATTGCCATTAGTGAGGTTTTCGCCCTCCCCATCGCCCCAACTTTTTCGGCGCCCTAATTCCTAGTTATTCCGATTATGCGCTTTCTCTGCAGCTTTGAACGGTAGAAATGCTTGAAGAGTTTTTCCCTCACGTGTCGTCCACTGCCTTCTACCTCTTCGCTTAAGGAAGGATACCTTCGGTAGCACCCGCGGTGAATATCAAGTCCATCACCGGGTACACTTATCGTCATCACGGCGTTGCACTTGCAGTAGGACCTTGCTGGGATACATGTGTCTACGTCTACAACAAGAGCAGGTAGCGTTGCTGCAAGTTTTGCTCGAGTTGCACGTCGAACCGCGATTTGCTGTCCGTTGACTCCCCAGTTCACTCCAATCGGGTTTTGACCGTTATGACAGGACGTTCCTGTGGTAGCGTACAAGGCTGCCGTCGAGGCTCTCGCTGGCTGTCACTGCACGGTGGCGTTAGAAATGGCCCAAGAAGCCCGCTCGAAGCTCGGAGACTCAGCAGAGGTGGGGGACAATGGACTCAAGCGCGCGTGTGGCCAATCAGAATACCAGCCATACCCTTTACGGTGTCTTTTTTTGTAGCTGGGACCCCAGGCCATCGGTCGGCGATTGACTGGGGTTGATGTTTGGCGCCAGCATCTTGGGAGGCATTCCTGCGTTACACCACGCGAGGGATTCCGAATATCTAGAGCAGTACCCCCCTACAACCCAAACGCGTTTTTCTTTACTTTCGAACATGGTCCATTTTATCTTGATGTTTGGAGTTTGGGACACTGCTGTGGGATACTTGGGAGGCCATGAAGAGAGGAGAGCAAACCCTTCATGTCGATATGCGAAAATGGTGCTTACGAAGTGGCCAAGGGGCAAGAGCTAACGCCTACGTACAGTATTGCTCACAAACTACTCGGAAGTCTTCCGCCTTTCGACCTTTGTTTTTCGTTCTTGTCACGGTGGAGCTCTGGTAGACGTCAGCAGCTGCAAAGCCCATGGTGGAAGAGCGTATCGCCACACCTATAGTATAATACCAAGCACTCGGAGAGTGAAGCAATCTCTCGGCGTACCGACCTATTTTGAAGTGGCACCTAGACCAGCACTTCGTATTCGAGAAACGTTGACGTTAACGTACTGCCACCGTTCGAGCTATCAACTGAGACTGTGTTGAGTCCAACGACACACATCCTTCCCCAACCCCAATGTAATTGTATCGTTCCCCAACCCCAACGTTTTTCGGGGGGACTGTGGTGCTACCCTCAGGGGCTGTGTGAGGTGTATGTAGCAGTGATGAAGCAGTGTATTGAGCAGCAAGAGCCTGACGTGATGCGAGACGTCCTCGAGGAGAGAATACAAGCAGGCGGGACCATGGCTCCGGATGCACGTGCTTATGAGCTAGCCCTGGGATGCCTGGGAAAGGTGTGTCGAGTTGGTAGTGTTGTTGTATCATGGACAACGAAGAAAGCTCCCGTGTTGTATTCTGTTAATAGCAGAGCGCATATTCTGTTAATAGCAGAGCGGTGGTTGCACATTTGCCTGAAGGTGTCGGATGCAAATAGTTTGATAGTTTAGTCTCGTCGTCGGTGGTTGCGGTGGGATGAAGGTTGTGCAGCAGTAGCACTGGATGATCACTTTTCCCGACGTCACCACCTGAAACACAATTATGCAATGAATCGTGTCATCAGTTTTTGCTGCAGTCGTCAATGCCAGCATGTAACCATGTAAATCATGTTAATTAGTGATTCAATCATGCAAATCATTCAATGGTGCATTCGTGGAATTATTCAATCGTGCAAGCACTCACGTTGTCATGCTTTGATGCAATCATCAATGCCATCAGGTAATCATGCAATGATTCAATGATGAAAATCATTCAATCATCTTGGCAATCATGTGATCCGATCGCTTTTTAACTTTTTAGGCGAGACGCATGTCTGAAGCTCTGGAGCTGTTTGGCGAGATGCTGGAGTCGGGGGTACAGCCTAACGCCATCGCGATCAACCACATGCTGTCGGGCTGTGCCAGAGACGCGGACAAGTTCTGGAGACATGCCAACACCATTTTCGAGGTAACACTAGTGCCAGCGCCAGCGCTAGTACTGTCGTTAGTCTGTGCCAGAAATACTTTCGATCTGAAAGCAGGCTGATTGAATATGAAGATTGGGCGTACTTGTGATTTGAAATCCTCGCTTGAAGATCAGTTGAGGTTTTTCAGAGAGCTAGGTATATAAATTTTGAGATTTCGAATTCGCACTACAATACCGAAAACATTGAGGTAGTCTCATTCGAGGTTGCAGAGGCCTTTTGGAGTGGACAACTAGCTTAGGAGGTTTTTGCATCCGACGGCCGACTATGACATCTAAGGTGAAACGGCGATGGGGCGGTGAGCGTTCGGTAGTGCATGGTCAGTTCCCACGTGCAGGTACATTACTGCTGTGTGGCTCTGCCGCTGCTGTGTTGCTGCCCTGCGCTACCGCTGCAAAAGCTGCTGCTGGTGCCTTGCTGTGGTATTGCGTCCCCATATCCGAAATTACAATAATACAGTAGCCGGAAAGGAGAAAGACGACTCACCCAACCCTTGATGTTGCATTGAGGACATGACATGCAGAGTCCTGGCCCCAGTCCTCTATGTCCATCCCTGTACAGCAACACGGTCACGATGGTGCGGTGTCCTCAGGGTATGGCGCAGCGATGGGGGGTGGCACCAAACGTCTACCACTACACGTCCCTTGTTACCTGTCTTCTGAAGGCCGGCCAGTGGAGCGAGGCTATCGCATTGACGGATAAGATGGAGGTCGGTGCGCTCGCCGTGCTAAACGTACACGTCTTGGTGTAGGCTTGAAACATACAGCGGCGTTGTATCGTGCTTGGGCTTCGCAGACGCACGCATCACGACGACAGCAGGGGGTACAGCGACGTCAAGTTTTTTTTTCGCATATAGTATGGTATATACATGTACAGCAATGGCGCACTGGGGAGGAGCTTAGGAAAGAGATGCACCACGCGACGTGTGTGTGCCCCTGCATCTGACTAGAGTCCCTCTTGGAAAGGTACCCTGCGAAACTAGGCGAAGAAGTTCATTTCGAAAGTCTACTGGCATACGTGTGGCTGCTGTGTTCTCCTTTTCCACGAGACACGAGTCGTTTGAGAGAAGCAAGTCGCCCGTCGCCCTACCGTTGGAACAGATTCCTCACAGCGGAGCTAGGTGTTGTGCACGTGATCCCACGGGGCTGACCCCAAGCGTCTGCAAATGCCAGCATTTAGGGTTAATGTTTCGAGGGCGCGCGGTGGAGGTACCTCAAGGCAACTGACCGTTTTATTGCTATGATGTGTGTTGTGTGTGTTGTCAGTCCGTGCAGATTTCCCAGCACCGCCCGGGTATTGTAATTGTTTGCTCGTTTGAGTCTTGGTGTCCTCAACACGCCTCACCCTTTGCTATTCGATGCGATGCGATACGACACGAACGCGGTGCGGCGGCTTGCTTGATGCTGTGCTTTGCAGGGTGAGGGCATTCCCCCCAACTCGCGCTTCCTGGACCACATGATGCAAGCTAGCGTGGCTGCCAAGCAGTGGGTAACCGCGGAGGCGATATTTCGAGCCATGACGGAGAAGTACGGGCACTCGAACGTCGTCACCCGCCAGAGCACAATGGATTTCATACAGGTGCGGGTGGGATCGACATCGCAATTAACATGACGGCATGGCTCTACGGTAATGTCGTACCCTGGCTATAGGTGGCAAGTGGAGCTTCTTACATTTTGGCAGAAGCTCTCACGTGGCTTGCCAGATGGTTTTGACGAGCTTCGCTGCTGCAGCGTTTGGTTTAGGCTTTTTTTTTGTCTTCTGCATGCGTCAGCCGCATGGGCCATGGCATCTTCGAAAGGTCGTTCTCTGTCGGCGGAAATAATCTTGCTGTCGGTACGTCCGTGCTGCTTCATTTCGTGTGCTTCGGACGGTGACACAGCATTTAACGCTTCGGAACTTTGCATCCCGTTGGCTATCAATCTAAACGGAGCAAGATGGATTTTTTTTTAAGCGCCAAGCGGCGTACTGTACCGTTCACGCCTCTGATAATGATGACGGTACCGATGGGACACATGCCTTGAATGCGTTCTGTGTGCTGAACGTTTCGCGTCCTGCATGCGGTTTCTACACCAGTTGTCCGGCAGCAAGCTGACCTTAAGAATCATCGTATGTGACGATTCGCCGTTCTGTCGCAATTTGGTGCAAGTTTTTTCCCGTGTTTCCGCCTTCCTCTGATGCCATACCATTGGACCGCTGGTTTTACCTTGCACGGTTTTTGGTGCACGTGGGGTGTCTGTCCAATCCCAATCCCGCAGTCAATGGTGATGCAGAAGAAGCTGCGAAAGGTTATTTCGTACGTGGCTAGGATTCAAGACTTGCCCTTGAAAGGACCCTCTCGCTCCAAAGGACGAAAAAACACGATGGACACCGCTCTTCTCAAGTGGTTCAGGGCCATCCCAGGCGTCAGCTCCGAGGTAAGGACGCCTTCAACAGTAAGAGTAACGGTGCTACTTTTGTCGATTTCGCCCCATTCCCCTTGGCCAGTCACCGAAAGCGCTTGTGGAGTTAGCCAAAAACTTGCTTGGTGAACTACACGTTGTTGGACATGCTTCTGCACCCAGTGGGTGAGTGTGCGCTGTTCGTGTTGTGCGTCATGCTTCATTTAACTTGTCTGCCTGCTGCCTGCCCTGAACCTATGCTGGCTACACTGAAACGACCTTTTTTTATTTATTTTTCCCTAACTATTACACAATGAGACATCTCTATCCATAGAAAAAGAGTCCAAGAGGGATAGATTATCAATGAATTCAGAGCGTCAGAGGAAGGTACTTGTATTTCTGTTTCCGCCATGTCTTATTTTTGAGTTTCCGCCGTGTCTCTGTGTAACTGCCGGGTTTTTTTTTTTTCCAGGCGATGGCGGGTGTCCTGATGACAATGCTCGACAAGGGCGTCCGGCTGCACCCGGATTCTTACAGCGTCGTTATCTCCAAAGCTAACCAGGTATTAAGTACGTTCGTTGTTTCGTCCACGTGGGTTGCTGCTGTCAGCACGTAGCACGACATGTGGGCAGTGGCATGTGTTCGGCAATGGAATAAAACTTAAGGAGACTTGGAAGACGTGGAAGACTTGGAAGACTTAAGAAGACTTGGGGGATTTATTGGCCGGCGATGGCGCCGCCTTCAATGCAGAGGGGGCTCGCAGATGATGCGGAGCTGATCGCAGCGTTGGTAATTCTCTGGGCTTTGTTCTATCAATAGATGACTGATGGTTGTTAGCCGATTTTTCCTGACTCTTGCTTGTGTTGACCATCCCGAACAAAGTCTGGCCACTAAAAGGTACAAGAGTGCCCTTGTAACAGCGTACATCTGAATCTCCTCATGTGTTGTCCCCATTGGGCCAATTCCATGTATGTCTGAGTTTTGCATTTCCGTCCGTTGCCGTGAGAGCCATTTTTTATTGGAGCAAGTTGTTGGGTACTTTGGGCTACGCACGACACGGCATTGCGTCGCGAAATACTGTACATTCTTGCAACAGACAGGAAGCATTTTTTTAGGGAACAAGCGCTGCTGCGGTCGAAATCGGTCGCGTCTTTCTCCGGAAGCGTTGCAACGTGCATCAAATCATGCATACTTATATCCAAACAACAAACAAAAAAACTGGCAGGACGGCAACAAGGAGCTCTCGGGAACGCTGTACAAGATGCTGCTAGCCGCTAATGCCGCTCCGTCGCTCAGCGCGGCAAACGCGGCTATCAAGGGGAGTGCGACCATCGATGAAGCGCTGGTGAGGCGGTTCGGTGGATTTACACGCCAGTCTGACTTTTTTTTGGATTAGTTTCCTCCTATCCTATCCTTCCTACTATTCTGTACATTTGGTTTTGCAGGCCTTGATGGCAACGCCTCGAGAACACCACATGTTATCTTATTTGCGTGCGTGATGGCGCCGATCCTATCTGCTTTCACTCGCCAAGTTTTATCATGCATCCGATTTAACATGGTCTCTACTAGATGCTTCTTGGAGTCCGTAGTGCTGTTGAACATCCCGTTGCCGCGCATACGCCATTTTGTCTGTGTAGGCGACGGTGGAGACTTTACGAGAGCAGGGGCTATCGCCGGACAAGTTTACTTTTGCGGCGCTTCTTCACTGCTGCAGCGCCGCCGTCGGAGACGACCTACAGGGGCAACGAGCAACCGAGGCAAGGGGGTAACGTGTGAATACCAAAGAAAGGAAATGAAGCAAAGCAACCTATTGGAAGCATTACTCTGGTCAGACTAGCAGTACCTCGAAACACGAAGCTTTAATAACAGAACCGGGAACGGAGCAAGAAAGCAAGAAGTTTGAAGCATTACAGTGGGCAGACTATTGTAGCAGTGCCTCGAAGCAAGAGACAGGGCTTCAATAGCAGAAGAAGGAACCGGAGCAAGAAGCAAAGTATGTGAAGCATTAGAGTAGTCACAGTCAGACCAACAGTACCTCGAAGCGAGTGGTTCCAAAGGCCGCTCAAGTTATCTCCAAGAAGGATCAGGGAGTTGAAGGAACATGGGGTGTTTGGGGCAGTGCACGGGTTTCAGGTTGGGCCACGACAGCAGTGCATCCTACTGTACCGTACATGCGGCATCCAGGCAAGACTTGGCGAGACCAGCGCGTCATCGAACTCATGCTTGCGCGGTTGGGCCCGTGTGCTCGTGCGCACTATATTAATAGATCTAATTGGCAACCGTTTCCACGCTAAAAAGCTAATCCTACCTCTTGGTTCTCGTGTTCTTTACTGTTGCGGGTGTCGTTTTTTGTTGAAGGTGTGGGAAGCGATGTGCGGCGAGGGTATTCGTCCCCACGGAGGGATGCTAGCCTCGTACCTCTTGTCCCTCATGAGGTCCGCAGACTGGAAGACTGCTCTCGACGTTCGAGAAAGGTGTGTTGTTGCTGTGCTGCTGCTGCTGCGGGTGGTGGGCGTTGTTGTTGTCACAGGATGCTATGTATGTAGTTCCTGTGTTTATTATCTTGGCATCAAGAACGCGCTATTACAGTGCCTCTCGTTGCATTCTGCCTCTCGAGCGAAGTGATTAGGGCGTCAACGAGCTCTTTGCACGCGAGGCAGCTGATGATCGATTGTGTATAGTGGGTTGTTACTGAGCGCGAGAGAGGGTATCTCGCCACGTGAACATCATGAATTTCGTGATCCTTATCCTTCCTCATTCCGTTCTAATGTACTGGGGGTTGTTAGGTTACTCTGATCACTCTGATTTTGCGGTTCTAGCTGGGAGAGTTCACGTTTCAGAACACCCACGCTTTTCTCGAAGCCCTCTTGGTGTGGACCGTTGATTTTTGTCCTCCGAACGTTAACGGTCGGGCCTGTGCTTGATTCTCTACCGGTGCTTGAACTGCTTTTTTTCTGTCTGCATCACGCCTGCTATGGTATGAAGGTATCGCGGCGATGAGGAGGAATTTCAGCTGTCTCACGCGGAGAGGCACGTCCACAAGCTGGACTTTGTCGCCAGGGAGGAGGCCGTGGTAGACGGTGTTGTGGCCAACGGGCTCGTAGATAACAAACAGCCCGACCTGGCGTTGGCGTACGTGCTGGAAGTCCTCAAGGCTCGGGAGGAGGTGAGTTAGTTGTTCACAGCTTGTCATCGCTTGCCATAGCTTGTCATCTTGTGTTGCAAGACTGTTACAATAAGGATTAGGGTGAGGGTTAGGATGTGAGTTCTTCATACTTGTCATGGCTTTCCTAGCTTGTCATGGCCTGCCATCACTGCCCACTACAATAGGTCCTCGTGTGTAGCATGGTCGTTGCTGTTAATATCAGGTTCTTTTGAGTATGGGAGACGGAGTTATCGCGATATCCTTGGTACCATCCCTCCCGCTCCATTATGGTGGTCGATCGTATTATAGTCGGAAGCGGTGTATTTCGTATTTTGCTAGCACCATGCAGGGTACAGGTATATTGGTAGGATGTTGCAGTTGGAAACATGTTGCGCCAATCACACACACCGACCCATTTGGTCGTTGTGTCAAGCTGTATCATTACAACTGCGGTTTAGATGCGGTTCCAATCATTGCTGTGCCATGCAGTTTGGAAGGCATGGTGGCACGCATATGTACGCCTATTTATTATGACATTGTCGCTTTGGGACGTTCATGTAGGCAGTCGAGTCTCTTTGATGCCCTTGTAAGCGCAAGCAGTGATGCCCACATCCATCCGGAGGCGTTGTGTCCATGACAATCTCTTCCTCCTCAACATGCTTTGCGATCGTTGCTTCATGTCTTGACGAACATGATGCCCTCTTGACAGGAGGGTGCCAGCGACATCGGCAGCGATAGCGACTTGAAGCACTTCATCGACGAGGACAATCACACTGTTCTCGCGGGCATAAGAGCTTGCAAGCAGGTCGGCTCGTGCGAGACCGCCATGGGTTTGCTAGAGGCCTGTGAGGCGAGATGGGCGAGGGGGCCTCTGGAGCGGGATGCGGGGAGAGGGGATGGGGGTGAGGAAGGGCAGTGGGCCCAGCACGAGTGGCGACAGATGCTGGTCAGAACAAGACTCTCCAGGAGGTAGGTCAACCATGTGAACAAACATTAAATAGAGAGAACTAATGATGGAGATGCGAGGCATACCGCAGACACAAAGACGAAGAGAATGAAAATACTGACATGAGGGAGGAGCTACGATCCCTGCGGTACAGCGCTAATGAGCTGGGGTCGGCGAAACTGTTGCAATACGATTGATGAACGAGGTCCAGGATGTAAAACAGGTCTTGATTGCTTGTTTAGAAGGAACGAGAAAGCAACCAGACGACTGTCGTGTGAACCCTGCTATGACTTCTTCATGCTTTGACTTTGAGGGAAAAAAGAGACACCCGTAGCAAACGAATTGGGTCCCGGGCTTTACTGTTGAGCGTTGGAAGACATGACTCTTCTTGTTGGAGCTTTCGAAGGTTTGCCGAAGCCAACCAGGGCTGGCCTTGCTGACACCTGTGGAGGTTCATCTTCCGTACGAGGCTCTCCTTGCAAGAAAAAAGCCCGTCTTCCCGGCCTATGACTACTGCTGAATGCGAAAGTGATGCGTACGCCGCTCTTCACCGCCGAAAGCTTTGTTTTGATTTCTTCTTGCTTCTCGATGTCTCTTCCTACAACCTCTAGGCCACGAAACAAGCCATATGCGCTGCTCCACCGGAATTTTTCGCCTTCGAATAGACGTTGATATGTATGACCTCGCGCCTGAGGATATTACACCCAGCTGTGTCCCCTTCGGAGAGACGCCGTGGCTCTAGTTGATCATTTATTGGATGCTCCTTGTGCTGGTGCTCCACCCTACATTGTCGTGTACGTCTACTTCCTTTGATGATGTCTGGGCTACCTTGCACCTCCTATTTGTTGTCCTTGTTGCTTGTTGTTGTCGTTCGGTCAGACGGTTGTACGACTGCTTGATTTCCGTGCTGGATGAGAAGGATCACGACTTTGGCGACATTCGACGGGTGCTGGAGAGAGGCATGAGGAACGGCGCCGTGTCGTTGATGAAAGACGTGAGGATGAGCAGGATCAATTGATTACATGGTGTTCGCGCAGGGATAGCAGATAAATAGCTGTCCAGCAGTAGTGTGTCTCCATGTGGTTGGTTTTGTGGTTGCATGGAAGACATGTTGGGGATATCTCGGAGATCTGCCGTAGATACCTTGGAAATGCTTGTAGACATCCGAACAGAACCTGATGCTTGTTGGTTAACTAGTTGCAGCAGAGGATGGAGTCCGGGAGGAAAGACCCTCATCGTACTTGTAGTGGCCGGTTCTACCGTGCGATCGATTTCGCCGCCCCCGTACGCCCCAATCCGAATCGAATGATGGAACACTACTCGCGTTGTTCTCGTTTTGTGGCAGCGGCGGCTCGGTTGCCATACATTACATGTGCATGTCCGCAGCTGTAGAGCAACACGTGAGGGGTTTTTTGAAATTGCGCACTTGGTGAGTCGTGATGCGGCTCCTGGCGAGCAGCTACTTTTACACTGTGGTTTTGCTTGAACCTCTTGCGTCGGAGTCACCCCCCCCCCCACCCCCTTGCCCGTACTGCGTATCCCTTCACTACCTGCAGCAACAAGGTGGCACGTCGGCGGATCAGGCGGTGGACTTCCACGGCTGGTCCACGCGAAGCGCCGGGTGCATCGTCCGCTGCATCATCGAAGACCTCACCCTTGGCCAGGACTTCCTCCATCGAACGGGCCAGTACGACCTCGGCCGAGCGGCCCTCGCACAGGGCCTGCGGGAATTCGGCAACGTCAGCGATAGGTGGCACGTTGACAGTCCCGACCCCAGGGGCAGGCGGCGGGAGTTCGCCGACGGTGTGACTCCGGCCCGGTTCGCGGAACGAGAGTATGGTAAAGGCCGGAAACGGAATCCCGAAAGCACGCCGCGTTGGGTGAAACCCGAGGGGGGCTGGGACGGATGTGGGTCCGACGAGAGTCAAGCCAGGTGGTGGGAGAAGCAGAAGCGCTTGTCCCTGGTTGTGGGGAGGCCTAGACCGCCCCCGTGCATCCGTAACGCGGTGGAGGAGTTCTGCATGCTGGGGGTGTCCCCGCCCCTTAGGGTGCAGAAGGCGGCGTCCAACCCCGGGATCTTGACCATCGAGCCGGAGGACGTGCAGGCGTGGTTGGGGCGAAATCCGCGCATTTTGTCGTGATTTTTTTTTGTTAGTTGTGTTTTTACACGTCGGCGGCGGTGTCCTTGCAAACTGGTGTGGTGGTGTGTACGTCATGGACGTGGCAACCGAGAATGTGCAGCGTGATGTGATGTGGACAATGAGGCCTATCAAAGTGCTGCTGCCAGACGAGTGTTTTGAACGGAGGTTTGGGAGAGTAAACACACCCGTGTGTCTCGTGTGCTTGGTCGAAGGTTTGGACTTGGATTTGCGTGCCTGTGGGCAACGAGTATCCTGTATTCTGGATGCTTCCGTACGAGCGCTCTGCCGGTTGAAGACTTTGAGATGCATAGCGGGAATTTCTTTTAGAGATGCTGCTGATGGTCGCGAGCGTACCGGGGACGTTTGCTGGTGTTGCTGTCTGCTGAGCGTTGGACAATGGACATGACGGTTGGCGATCCCACTACACTATTGATAGGTGCATCGATGGTATCAAAAACTTGCTCAGGCTGAAGGTTGCCCTGCTGCGTGGTATACAGGCATCAATAAACGCCTTTGTTTTGACGGGGTAGCCATGACGTCGTGAAAGAACCATGGCATTTCACCTCTAGACTACTGCTGCTCTTCGTCGAGGTACATGTGTAGAGTATCCGTCCGCTGGAGCAAGAGCTACGGTAGTCTTGGTCTTGCGCCCATCCCATGATACGACTGCAGCACGTGAAAACCGTGAATACTGCGGTAGGAGGAAACTGATCCCCCACGAACACGGGATCGCGGAAATCGCGTCCAAAGGCCAAGGAGGCAGATTATTTGCTTCACATCACATCACATCACATCACATCATCAAGATCGTTCAGCAACGAAACTTCTGTAAGCTAGCTGGCATCCAAAGAGAGGAAACAGGCGGACAACCAGGGTGTCCCGCAACAAACATTCATGGCACCGTTCCCACCAGGAACCAACGTCATCGCCGACAAGCACGGCCTTGACGCCTTGACGCCTTGACAGGTGGACAGGGGAACAATTTTTGCACTTGTGCGTACCATGTCCCAGAGTTACCTAGCCTTTAGGCTGAATCTACACCACCCCGAGGAGGTGAGTCAAACTACATATCGCCGCCACCACTGCTACCAGCAGTCGGCGGTTGTACATTTAGGTAGCCCCGCTCTCTCAAGTACGACAAGAGATTGTCGACGCAGGCTTCCACCGAACACCCTTCCGCCAGCAGCTGTATCTCGGGGTTCTCGGGAGCCTCGTACGGCGCATCAGCAGCGATGCCAGTCATGTTCGTGATCTCGCCCGCTCGTGCCTGTTTCGTCGTATCATATCGCAATCACAACATTAAGATATGAGATGCGAAGATCTCTTTGTGGTATCACAAGATTGACATGTAAGTAAGATACAAAGATAGCTTTGTCGTATCACAAGAGTATGATGCAAGATAAAAATATTGTGAGATAGCTTTGTCGTATCGTATAATTGGAGGCGCGCAACAGCACGAATACACCGTTGTGCGTTGTTGAAATAGTCAATGATTGCCTTCCTGTTTCTTATCGCGCTTGTTATGTCCTCGCTCACGGTGAAGCGATCGCGGATACTTTTTGCGTCAATTGCACATCAAGCCAGGCAATGAAAACATCGGAATTATTTTTTATTTCTTGTCGTGAAACAGAAGGTATCAACTTGGAAGGTATGACGGGGTGCGTGCATCTGACTTGACTAGATGGATTCGGCACATTTCACCGGCCCCGATTAACGACTTAGCATGGAACACCGAGAGCATGAAGGTGACAGGAAACTTGGTGTCGCAAAACCTCTGTAGGGCAAGAAACCGCGGGAAACTTGTGTTTCATGATGTTGCGCTCGGAGCCACTCGTCATCACAACAATCAACCCCAACGATCATCAAGTTTCGCATCGTCACCATCACGAAAGCATACCTATGATACCTACGGAGTGCAGCGACTCTTCGACCGCCGACCTCGTATCGATGGTATGCGCAGAGAACACCCAACACCGTTGCTCACATCCACCTAACACACAACCACATTCTTTTAATACAACACCGCATCAGCCTGTTTGTGCCAGAAAGCAACACGACGGGCACCACACAACCGAACCTCGGGACGCGGCTTTCCACAGCAACTACGACAACTAACCACCGTTACCGTCTTACCTTCTTGTACAGGTCTTTTGGGTCTCGCTGTTCGCAAGTCTGCAGCGACGTAGACACGTGCACCTCCACAAACTCCCCGCTGTTGAACCTTCCTCTTGCCCTTTCTCGGTCTTGGCGGTACGGACTGCTCACGCGACACAAATCGGCAGCCGTCATACGTAGAAACGCAGCAGGATCAACAAAGTTGAGGCAGCAAGAGCGACCGACAGGCAGCGGAGAGACGAGGGGTTGTCAGCCTTAGGAGACAGCAGACAGCAGACCACCAGTGATGGAACGGAAGGAATAAAGCTGAAAGTGTTCAAAGTTTCCCAGTACCAAGCGAATATCATCGTCAGTCAGCAGTGTCCGCCTACGCTCGCGATAGAAAGCGAACCATACTCGTTGCTGCCAGTTGTGTGTGTGTGTGTGTGATACGAGATGCATAATTCTCGTATTCTACAGATGAACTACTGCTTCTCGCCGATCAGCCCCCACACTCGCTTCCCCTAGTTGTGCGGCAGAACTACTGCTTTATCGCTTCCACCGACCTTTCGCCTTTCGTACCGAGGGTGAGACTTCTCTTCTCTACCCTCTTCAGTACCCAGACCGCCGGCGCACACGCCCCTCGCCTCCCTTTCCCTCCCACCTGATCACCTGATCACCTGATCACCTGATTACTGGGACGAGCACAATGATTCCGAGATCCACCATCAACCTGGCCACCTCCGCCACCCTTCGGACGTTTTCTCTCCTGTCTTCCGGCGAGAAGCCTAGGCCGCTGTTGAGGCCGTGGCGAACATTGTCCCCATCGAGGATGTACGTGTGCCGGCCCTCTGCCGTAAGCTTGACATCCAAGGCGTTAGCCACGGTGCTCTGCCGAAATCGAAGACGGAAAAAAACAAGCAAGCCCGGACTAAGCGTGTTTTATTTATTTTGTTGGGGTGACAGGCACTACTGTGAAAACTCTCGGACACTGGCATGAAGCTAGGCTGTCCATCCACTATTCCGATGCAAGTTCGTACTGAACAAAAAAGCGTTGGCTTTCCTAAAATGCTTGCATCTGCTAAAGTGACAGGGCGGTCGGAATGAGTTAGCGGACATCGGGTGCAAGAGGAGGGCGTGCTGGATGCGAAAAAATCAAATATCCTTCCCAAAGTACTCATCCAACACACAAGTTGGCCACCAACCGTGGTATCATACGCCCGTTACCGACATGAGAACGATCATCTGCACTAGTCTATGTGAGGATCAATAGCATCACAGCTTCATTGATACATACCGTAGGTCGTGAAAAACACAATGAACCAATCCCAACGCGGGCTTTGTCGTGTTGAATTAAAACGACGGCACAAATGTTTTTCTTGTTCTGGAGAAAACATTGGCCCCGACTGCACAAATGTGAGGACTGACTTTGATTGACCCTACTGCTGCTGCGGTAACGTTGAAGACCGCAAGCAGGGCACGGGTGTGGGCGTGTGTCGGGAGCAGCGTGGGATGCTGTAGCCCTTTGTCGATCGTACTGTACCTTTCCTGAACCACTGAGGCCCGTAAGCCACAACACAACCCCTCGTTGACCCTTGAGCTCCCACCTGCAACGGGGAAAGGGGCACACCAACATGCAAATTGCCCACGATGTCGGCACCACGACAATGCAAAGTACCAGAAATACGCAATAATTTCCAGGACTGCTGTGAGCCGCATTGGTGTTACAGCAGCACCATGTGGTATTTTTTGTCCTTGGTGCAATAGGATCGAACGTGCACAGGGACGACCGGACTTTTCTAGGCTACCCGTAGATATCAGTGCGGGGTAGGGCAATGGAGAGAAGGAGAGGTCAGACGGGCCCTCAAAGCCGGGGCCAACAACCAACAACTGCTGGATACAGGGCACATACGATTGCGGCGGAATAGGTCTGGGAGTTGTTTGGGCCAAGTAGTTCTGCGAGTGGGTTCCCGCTTGATCAACACGGAGGCAACCGTGCTATATGCATACATGTATGGGTTGACAGAGCAAGCCGATACACCCCTCTTTCTCGTTCCCGTTCTATGTAGTGTACACCATACTGACTTGACATGGCATGGCAACGGCTTTACCGCGGTAAGCGGTACTACTTACGCAAAGATGTACAAGTAGCTGAAATGGAACAATCTTGGATTTCTCACCTTCGTTCTCGCGAAACATGTGTGCAATGCCACACCACATCTTCATGTACAGCACAATCAGGCTTTTCTGTTGTGTCCTCTGCCATGCTCCAACTCGTCGGCGGTCTGGTACTGGTGCTGTCGAGCTGTGACACTGCAGCACAGAGCAGGCACAATGCAGTGTGTGAGGTTGATGTAAACTGGGGCTCCGACGAATGTATCGCGAAAATCAGAAGGGGGGGGTCGCTTGTTCGAGCCTTGGGCCACTCAGCACTGCAGCACACAAAACTAGAGCAGCAGGCAGAAGACGGCGGCCAGCAGGCGAAGACAGCTGTGTCGCGGTGATCGTGCATTCCGTGTGGCGTGTATTCCCTCTCCTCAAGCCAAGTTTACCGGCAAGCAGGATGGCGGATTCTAAGCGCGTCCGGATATCCAAGCGGGAAGGGGCCCTGGTGAGTGGAATCAATCTAACAGTCTCGCACCTTTACAGGACAGCAGTAGTCACGTTGGATCCTGGTGTGCTTGTCATAGAGACATTGAGACTATTGCATGGTGTATCGCATCCATCGTGTGTCCCAGTAAGACGGTGGCAAGTCTTTGTGTCCGTCCTGTGTTACATGGCGAGTACCGCTGCTGAAACCTTCACTCCTTCGCTTGCAATAAATACAACACAAATACAACAGGAAGTACCCTCTAGACTTATCAGCTGGGCCAAGCAATCATGGCTCTGTCTCTTGTCTCTCCCGCACTGCCTCTGCTTTCTATCTCTTGTGGTGCGTGAGAGAGCAGATGGCGCGTCTTTCGGCCAAGGAGCAGGAGATTTACGAGGTGCAGGCGTCGGCCAGGGACCTGTACAGAGCCAGAAGGTAAATACCGGTTCTTGCCAAAGTTTGCCGTACATGTATTTTGTAGCGAGCCCGCTTGTGACCAGATCCCAAGCTCAACTTTAACTTTCACGCCCATGTTGCCGATAGGCCCATGGTTGTTGCTGTTCGACAGACTGTTTTCGCAACACATACCGAGTGTACCGGTGTCTGTGGTCGTCACTGAAACAAAGCCTATCGCGGCTGTATGATATGATAGCTATTAGCTAGCTGCACGAAGGGTGTCTCGCTCTCCCGTCTATTGGCGGTGGTCGCCTCGCCTGCTCTGCGTGTTGTTACTTACCCGCGTTGGAGCACCCTGTAGCTGTAACCACGCGAGGTTTTGCAGTTGGACGCGTGCCGGCGATGCGATGCGCAATCACGGCGAGATAGTCCGTCTGTTCGCTTTGCATATAAGGCAGCAACATACATAATTCTATGTTAAGGCAACCTGGAGTGAAATGAAAGTTGAATCGCGACAGTCTCAGCCAAGAGCAAGAAGATACCCTTTGGTTGCAGAGATTGCATGCATAAACTTTCAGACTGGAACTCTACGCAACGAACTCTCTTGCCCGAGAGGGCCAACTCATCTGATAACGAGTCGCAGCGCAGCGGCAAAGACAAGCTTTACTCCACTCTTGTACACGACACATCGGCACACCATACATCCACCGACTAGACCAGCGTGTGGCAGTTGCTGCAAGGCGATGACGCGTCAACTGGCACAAAGAAGCAGTCGAACACAGCAGTCCTCTCGTTCATCCGATTGCTGCTGTGCATCCGATTGCTGCTGTGCATTGTATCGATCTACGGAAGCAAATGGTGAGCTTTTTTTTTGCTCTAGACCACAATGACGAGGGACAGATGCAACGAGAATCTCTCTTATTCCTCCTGTCCTCGATGCGTTGCCCGACGGGACGGTGACTTGCTACCCAGGCCCGTGACGGATTTCGCGCGTCAGGTGTACACCGACCCTGCCATCAACGTGGAGTTTCAGCTCCTCACGGCACAGCTCGCCGAAATGTAAGCCTATCCTCCTTGATGTGAAACAGGACGTACGCATACTCCGAGAACTTTATTTAAATGTGCACTTGTAGAAGTATTCGTGTGGGGTATTGTTGGGGTGTTGATTCAACGTTAGTGGCTGTTTCTCCGTCCAATCTTGTTTCGCCCCCTGAGATGTTGGCGGGGCTGTGAGGATTTCATCTCTTTCCTGTTGAACCATACGGTGTGCAATACGAGTTGGACACTGCTGGCGAAACCACCTTGCCTTCCTACTGCGGCATTCCTCCGCCATTCCGATGAAGGAACCCTGCGAACTCTGCTTGTAACCGTTCCGTGTTATTTAGACGATGTGCCTCCCACGTGCTTGGGTACTGCACAAACTGGCATGCTACGTGTATGTAGTACTTCCTGACTGTTGGCCTTCTCCTCACCAGAAGGCACGTTCATCCCTCGTATATCGGAACCCTACTTTTGATTCATCATATTCATCTTATTCATCATATTCATCATCCCATCCGGTCTTATCCACTTTTCACATATGATGTTGGACAGGGAAAATTCGTTGCGGCTCAAGGAGGCGGAGTTGAAAGAGCTTCGCACCACGGCAGACAAAGCAGACAAGGTATGTCCCGCACCGTGCCATGTGCTCGCTGGACCAAGAGCTGTGGTATACCGCTGTACGGTTCCACGGTACGTATGACGGCAGACTATGATACCTTCATCGTACAGTACATATGCGTAGGACAGTAGCAGAGCACGTCAGCCTCGGTCAGTTTTTTTTTCGATCTAGGCGGTTGAGAAATGCACGTGAGGTTGGCTCGTGGTATGGTAGTCGCTTCACGCCTTGAGAGGCAACAGTTTCGGTACTGCATTGCGTCACCTCTACTGCTGTGCTGTGCGTCCGGTATGCCTGGCGAGCGACAGTTTTTTCTGTATTGACCAACAGCTATGATGACCCACGACATATTTGGCTGGTGTGAGGAAGAACTTGCGTCTCTTTTCACAGCAGCTTCTGTGTTTGACTCTAACCCTCACTCATTGCTGCTCATGGCCACAGGACAAGGGGAAAGGTGCTGCGGCCAAAGGTGCCGGGGCTGCAGCCAAACCACCCCCGGCCGGGGGCGCTGGCGGAAACAGCGGTGGCGCCGTTGCCAAAGGAGAGAGCACGGTGGCACGGGCGTCTGCCCTGGTGGCTCGCTGCCAGCGGCTGGAACAGGAGAACGAGGAGCTCGCCGCCTCTGCTGACGTCGCGAAAGGTAAGCACACGAGTGGATTGGCATGGCAAAGCGCAAGTTATGGATGCAAGGATTTGGGGGTGCTGTGGTTGCTGTTCTAGAAGGCGTATCCTTCACGCCTCGTGAAAGAGGCAGGCAGGCTCCGTGCAACCACGGCGAGAGAGCGGCATCCATCTGAACGTGTGCGCGCCCCTTGCTACCGTCGTTTTTGTCGCGTTGCACGCTTCGGTTTTTGCAGTGGCGCAGCTGACGAGCGAGAAGGCCGTGGCAGAGGCTTACGCTGGAGAGCTCAAGACTGCCCTCGAAGAGGCGTACGAGTACATCGAGAAGCTCGAAGAAGAGAGGTAAGCATGTATACATACTACTGTGCTATGCAAAAGCAGCAGCAGCAGCAGCACCACCACCACCACCACCACCAGTACCAGCACCAGCACCAGCACCAGAACAGCAGCAGCACCGCCAGAATAGCAGCAAAATAGCAGAACCAGCAGCAGCAGCAGCACAAGCACCAGCACCAGCAGAATAGCAGCACCAGCACTAGCACCAGCACCAGCAGAAAGGCAACAGTAGCAGCAGCAGAGACAGTGGGGGCAGGGCAGGACGCGTGTGTTGCGTTTGTCCCGTCGGACAACCCCCTTTAGAGCAACGTCTTCAAAATGATTGCGTTGGCGGGCTGCGGTGGGCTGTTTTTGGCGGATGCATGTGCTCGTCCTGCCATTCATGTGCTGGTTCTGCCATGTTCATGTGCGAATTTACGTCGCAAGTGTTGAAGAAGGTGGCGCCAAACTCTCACTCAACACGGTACGAAATCTCTAGTGTTTCCGTGCGCGGCTCAACCTCGACTTTTCCGTATGCACGCACGTTTGTTTGTTGTTTTTGTTTTTGGGTGTCGTGTCGTGTCGTGTCGTGTTGGTTTGGGCAGGGAAGTGCACAGCACCAAGGTCTACGCTCTGGAGGAAGAGCTCCGCTTGGTCGCGTCTCAGCCTCACCTACACGGCCAGCAGCAAGAGCAACAGCAACAACCCCAACAGGGACACGAAGAGCAAGAGCAAGAGCAAGAGCAACAACAACAGCACCACCAACAGCAGCATCAACAACACCACCACCAACAGCAGCAGCAGCAGCAGCAGCAGCAGCAGCAGCAGCACGAAGAACACCACGACCCGCACCAACATCAGCAACACCACCACCAACAGCAGCAGCAGGACTACCACGCGGCACCACAACAGCGAAGCTTGGGTGCGGCGTCATCAGGCAGCGACATGCCGCAGCAATCCTCCCCCTCGAGCCGTGACGACAAGTCCTCGTGGAACGAAGCAGTCCAGCAGCAGCATGACTACGATGGGGGACAACGAGAGCGACGGCGTGGTCAGGGTGGCGAAGGGGAGATTGGCAGAAACGATCACGATGATGGTGGTAACAGCAGGCCAGGTTCACACGACGAGCCGGCACCACCGCCGCCTCCTCCGCCTGCGGCGGCACTTGAAACGGCTGCTACGGAGGACGACATGGATGATCTCTACGGAGATATGGGAGATGCTGTCGGGCAAGCGTTTGAACCTAACTCCGCTGAGGGGCAAGAGGGGCCCGGTGCGGGTGCGTCGGCGGGGGGTGATCCGATGGAGGAGGAAGAGGCACGGGAGCAGGAGCAGGAGCAGGAGCAAAGGAGGGAGGAAACACCGCCTCCTGTGGCCACGAGGGCCAGGTCGACTAGAAGAAGCACAAGAAGCAGGAAGTAGACACAGCACCCCACCAGCATCAGCGGTGATCGAACCGTCTACAAGGGCAGGAGGATTTGACTGGAGGGGGGCTATCGCGCAGAGCTCCCTTTCAGGCTGATGAATGCACGTCGTGTTTTTTTTGTTTCGAGTATTAGTAGGCAGTTTTGGTTCTGTTTGTGTTGTCGAACAGCAGAAGTTAAAACAAAGCACCAGCAAGAGCAAAAGAGCCTATTTCTTGTGAGGCTTTCTACGTGAGAAAGCAAGAGCCTCGTACTGTATGTAGAATAGTGCGTGTGGTTTGTCTATGCCACTTGTTAGGATAGCTCTATCATCTCAACGCCCACAGGCACAACCAGCATGAAGTAAACACCGGTGCTTGGAACCAACGTGGGGATAGGGGACCAGGCCAACTGGACGTGGTGTTTGTGCCGTGGCTACATTTCAGCAACACAATACATTGAAAGGGCCCTTGGAGCAGCTGTTGGTCTTAACTAACTTTGGAACGAAGGCACCGCACACCGCACAGCAAAGTGCCTCGTGGAAAATCCCTACACTGCTGTTCATTTGGTTGATTTGACAAAATCAAGTTGACCAAGGAGAGGGGTTGTGGCGCAGTTCGGGACATTGTACTTGAACAGCAGAAGTTGATCCTACTTTTATCCTGAAACGAAGAGGATTGAACAAAAAGCGACGACAGCGCGACGCTGGGCTCCTCGGTCCGATGTCTTTGTAGGAGCAGCATTGCGATCTGGATCTTCAGTTTCACAGCAGTAGGTCATACACAAGCCGCATCTGTGGATGTGTGGATGCTGACGGTCGCAACGCAACGTTTATTTGACTCATGTTTAACTCTGCGAAATTTCCGTGCCTCTTCTGGCGACCGTTCCATGTTCGTGTTCCATGTTACCCGGCGGCACATCCGTGTTGCCAAGCTTGCTGTCGGGGTCAAAAACGGTGCCTACCGCCACGGGGAGAAGACACAACGACCCCGCCTGGCGCACCTACCCCCTTAGGCCTCGATCGATGTCTAAGATACATGACGCTTCAGATGGCTCCACGTTTTCCAAGTCGTCATGGCGTCAGTTCTGCGTCCTGCTGAGGAAAAACTTTCTCGTCACGAGGCGTACACCCTTCAGCCTTGTGAGTACAGCAGTACAGCAGTGGGGGCTACTGTAGTTCTCTTGCTAAGAGTGCCGCAAGACAGCGGTGGGAGCAAGCGTGCTGTCAGTCCTGTGTTGCGATTGACTTTGGGGTGATTGTACATTCTGGTGGCTGGTCTACAGTACAGCATTACAACAACAGCTGCTGCGGGAACCGTGATTCCCGCTGTCGAACGCCGAAGCCTATCGTGTGTACTGCTGTACAGTAGCACCGGTGCAATCATACACGAGGCTGCGGGAGACAACACCGGCTCCCATGCACAGCTGAAACGAAGCTGCAGTCGATCTACCTATCTATGCCAATTCACGTATGTTCGCGTTCATGCAAGGATCCAGACTGCAGTAGGGACAGCAGTAAGATGCATGAGCGAGGCCCGTGAGCGTTTCGTCATCAACACACATATTTCTTGGTCCTTGCATGACTTGCTGCCAGAAACTTCTGTCTGTAGCTCTGGTTTGCCGGCGCGTGTGTATACCGTCCATAACGCAATGGGGTTTCACTGCACTGGTGTCACTACGTCGCCTTCACTCCATTACGTTTCCAGTGCTAGCCAGCACGAAAGCAGCGTGCTAGCTATCGTAGGTCGCGTAGAGTAGTCTGGTACACACACCAACACCGGCCCCAAAAGGGATGAATTTATCCATTCGATAGTCCGTGCACTCCACACGAAGAACAAACCCAAAGTTCATCGAATGCTCTCGACAACGTTCCACCGCCGTTCTCGGCATCGCCACCCTGCTTTTGCGGCAGAGAGAGTAATCAAGCTCTGAAAAGGTCCAAGCTTTTTCACGCAAAGCTACGCATTGCCACGGCGACGCGGCGACAGCGACTGCACCGCCGTACAGCACCGACTGTACCGCCGTACAGCACTCCTTATCTGTTTTTTTGGTGGTCGCCTGTTCGACGGAGAAATATCCTACAAAAAATGTGGTATCAGATTGCCGACATTACGATGGAATACACAAGACTGTTGGAACTAACTCTGTGGTCGGGTCAAAGTTCATCGAATGCTCTCGACGACGTTCCACTGCCATTCTCGGCATCGCCAACCTGCTTTTGCCGCAGAGAGAGTTATCAAGCTCTGAAAAGGTCCAAGCTTTTTCACGCAAAGCTAAGCATTGCAACGGCGACGCGGCGACAGCGGCTGTACCGCCGTACAATACAACTTCATGCCTGTTTTTTTTGTGGTCGCCTGTTCGACGGAGAAATATGCACACAAAGGATGTATCAGATTGCCGACATTACGAGGGAATAGTTTCCACAAGACAATTTGTGGTCGGGTCATGCCCATATCGCCTCGCCTCATCATGAAGCCCTTGATGGTCTACACTATGCTTGGTGTATACAGTGTAGGATCCGAGAATGATGGACAGGATATATGGTGTTGTTTCCGTAGGTATTGGGCAGCAACGTTCCTGGGACCTGTCCTGGGTGCCAACGGCCACATTTTGTTGTGTGGTAGGTCCAACTACTGCTGCTGTATCTTACAATGTAGTGTAGGTTTGCAAACCGGACCCCCTTGATGGTCTACGCTTGCTTGGTGATATAGTGTCAGAATTCGAGATTGATGGATTTGACTATGTTGTCCTTGTTTTCGTAAGAAAAATATAGCAGCAACGTTCCTGGGACCAGTCCTGGGTGCCGACGGACACATTTTTGTTGTCGGGTGGGTCCAACTATCAGACAACATAGTGTAGATGTGCAAACCGAACCAGGATGGCACGTATGTGGATGAAAAAGACAGGAAAACGGCGTTCGGACACCTGAGGACCTTTTCACACGGTGTTATGCACAATGTCTGTGTCCTGTATCTCCTGCCGATCATAAAGAATGCGACACTTGATGGTCATGGACGCGATGGCAACTCCGCAACCCTCGCTACCCCGCTTCTTACACTCCGAGTCGCTCGCCATTAGCCAAAAAATTGATACTCAATGATGATGATAAGATACGTAGGTGTGTTTCACAAGGCACACGGCATCGAAATGAGTTGTACACGAATGAATCGAGTTGGAAGGCGTCAATGTTGATTGACTTGATTCGCTACCGTGAAGTGCTTGTTATTTTACTGCCGCCACAACCATCTCCCGACGGCGTAGTCTAACTCCCTTCGTCGCCAAAACGAAGAAACAGAAAATCACCTGGATCCCGCTGGGGCGCAAGAGAGCCAACCGTCTCACACAAGTTTTCACGTGCTGTACACGCACGTACGGACCGGTATGAGCATCGCGCACATGGCTTTCTCCATGTGTTTCTTCTGCTGTTGCGTATGCTACAGTAGCTGAATCTCTTCCTCCAGAGGAGCGACCGTGTGCTTCTTGTTCTTCCTGAATCGATCTCCTGTGTTCCCGCCCCTTTCACTACTGTGCCGTATGCACCCCCCCCCCCCCCCCCCCCCCTCCCCCCATATTTCTGTTTCCCCTGACCTTTGAAGAAACCAAGCCCACCCCCCCACTGAATCAACTGGGAGTGGCCGGCTTGTTTCTCTACCCGAAGGGGGTGAACCAGGGGGAATTCAAACCCAAAAAAAATTAAAGAAAAATTTCCTTCCCCCAAACCCCCGTACCCCCCCTTCAAGAACCGGCAA